TTGAAAATAGCACTACAACTAACCACAACTTGTTGTCCTTTTTTCAGCGTTGATAGCCATCCCGATGATAAACCAAAACGATGGAAACAGCGGCCTTCAGTGGCAGTAAAGTGCAATAGTGAAAAAATGAAACGTATACGTTTTCCCCAAAGTTCCCTAATACAACTGACACTGTATGGTCGCGGAAGCAAACGAGGCAGCAGTTCTTAAAAATTTATATTACAGTAAATTATTCAATAAACATGTAGAAGTCAGAATGAAAAATATTTAACTAACCAATCAAACGTTCAACGGTAGGTCTACATGAAGGAAAGTTTAGCAGAAAATCAACCAACGAAAGACCAGCCTGAAATCATTTCATTCCATTCAATTTCTTTCAAAGTAATTAACGTTACTAAGAACAATGAAATTAGCCAATCGTAACACTCTAAGATCTACTCGCGTATATTAGTATGCTTTCAGATTGACCAGTAGAAGTTCAACTTGTACAAAAAAAAAAAAAAATAGTTTTTTTTTGTACAGTATCGCAACTGCGGAGACGCATCATGAGAAAGCCGAAGAATTCAACGAACGTGACATTATGATTGGTAAGACAACTATTAATTCGATGACTAACAGCAAATAAATCTGAAAATATATTTTAAGATTTACCTGACGAACAAATTTTGTGAATTCTTCAACTCCTTGAGCACTACACAGTTCCAAAATGCGTCTTTTTTGACACTCGCTTTCTGTACATTCCGCAAGTACACGAAGAAGAGGCTAAAAATGGAAACAAAAAATTATAAAAAAAAAAAAAAAAAAACTATAGAAAAGACTTACTAATACTTTTCTAAAAAGTAACCTTATGTTCTCGAAAAATATAACTTACTCGGCCTGGCGATCGCCTGATATCAAGACACCACGTGAAAATGTATCTTAGAGTAGAAACTTCTGGTATATACGGTGGTATGGCTGTATTTTTCACTGCATTTTGAGATTTAACAGTTACAACTAATTTCCGATCTGCTGCCTCTAAAAATCCTATCCTGAAAACTAAGCAAAAGACATAATATTTGGAAAAGATAAGCAGTTATGAATCAAACAAACCGAAAAAGATTTCTGAAACAGCTGCACTTTTCATGCGATAGGTTAGCCTAAAAGCCGCTTTGCTATCATTTAGTTTTACTTATTGGAAGATTGAAAAGAGTTAGACAGAATTACCTTTCTAAAATGAAATCCACTTCTTCCCGAGTATTCGGCACAACGAAATAAAACGCATCGCCTGGTTCGTAACATATTTCGGCATCATGTTCCAAATCCACCACAATTTCTTGCTTTGGCTTCTGGATTTCCAAACTCGTAAGATTAGAAACACTGACTACACGGCCTCGATATCTTTCATTAAGGGCTCCTGCAACGCTACACCCATTCTGCCAAGGTAAATCATCAGTATTCTGAAAACTTGAAATATGGTAAAAACATAAGGGAAAAATTAAAACAAATTATAAGGGGCTGAGAAAAAAAACATACATATTCTTCGGAAGTAATTTTGCAATTCAAATATGAATCTCTTGCAACTGGAACTCGCAACTGCGAATCATCTTGAAGCTTCTGAGCACCTGAAAACAAAATTGATATAATACTTTTAAGCAATTTATATAATTTATTTCACCTCTAATACTATTACAAAATATTAGGACGAAAATATTTAAAGATGGATGAAACAACAAAAATAAACTACTCCAGATTACCTCTAATAAGACATGCAACATTCTCAGGCCACGTCGGTGGATGTACTTCTAGCGATTTCAGAATTCCATTTAAACCTTCCTGTAAAAAGTTTCTTAGGATACGAATAAGCAAATAAAGAAAGCATGTAAGTGCATTTATAAAGCCTGTTTGCCCAATAAATCTCTTCTATCTTCACAGGAGACTCGACTATCCAACAGTTCGGGATTCAGTTTATGATACAAACAAAATGAACAAATGAAACAATCCAAGCTGTTTGTTCCTTTCCAGTATGCCATAGTGAACTAAATATAGCTTAGTTCATTCTTTTTTGTGAGTGGAACTTCATGAAAAATGGAGCTGAAACAACCAACCTTGCAATCCTCTTTCTCTTCCAGACACAACTGCCGAATACGGTATATATCCATCATACCATCATCACATGACACGACATTTTTCATAATGGATATCAAACCGTGAAATGTTCATACTGCAAGGACGAGCTGCTATTTCTTTCTTACCATGGAACGTTTATTTGCCGGTGTTCATGAATTAGCAGATGGTGTGATGGGGTTGGTAGGTTATAAGTGATAGGGAATGAATGCGAATGAGTGCTAAATTGAGTGTTAAGTTCTGTTAGAATGAGTTAACTGCTAGCAACGATGGAAATGCAACGGAAAATTTGAGTGTCAACTTTTATTTTTTTTTTTATAAATGAAATCTGTAAGTATTCAGTGTATTTCAGATGTTGTCAGCCACTGGTCGTATTGTACCGGTAAGCACGAGATTTGTTTATCCTCGCTTACTACAGCGATCTCTGGCAGAAGTAGTCTCGGATCGTCCACAATTTGATCCTATTGTGTAAGCATTCCCTAAATTTAAGTCTTGCCAAAATGATTGGCTAATTTTTTTTTTCTTTTTAAACAAGTTAAAATTGAAAGAGCAAATTCGAACCGAAATTTTTTCATCTAAAATTCAGGTTTATAAAATTATAGAGTGTTTTTGAACTCTTGTATTTTCGGTGTTTAATTTATGAGATTAATTTTTTAATTAATTGATAAGTCATTACATCATCATATATTGACTGTAGTTTCCATAAATTATCTGTTTTATAAGGTGATTGAAATATTTCTTCTGAATTAACTTAGCTCTTTATTGCAGCGCTCGAAAAAAATTCAAAGAGACGCATAATCATTCAACGATGTTCAAGATCGAGAAGTACTTTTCGGCTGCAATGCTTCCACTTCTTCCAGCTGCTTACTTTATCCATGGACCAGTCATGGATACTGCTTTGGCAGTTGCAATCACATTGCATGTCCACTGGGGTCTTCATGGTGTGCTGAGTGTAAGTCTTATAGTTTAACTTCAAGATAAAAAAAAAAATTTAATTAAATTCCTTGACTAAGGTTTTTTCGAACTCTCAATACTGTGTAGTATCGAGCATTGAAATGAAGATGTTATCTATTTAAGGCGGTTTGAACAAACAGAACAACGCATCAAAACATGTTACTTGCATGAGAATGGACAAATATACTTGCATAACATATGAGGATAGTGGGTAAGAATGGCTAAACATAAATAGCTTAATGAGTGTAAAGTCTTAAAAGAAGAGTTGCTAACAAAGATTGTGTCCAATAATAGAGCGCAGCAAAATACATGTTGTTTGTTTCCATACACTGAATTTATTCGAAATTATGCTTTGAAAGTCTATTATTATAAAGTTGTGTATTTAGGATTATGGTCGTGCATTTGTGCTTGGGACAACAGCTGCAAAAATTGTCCAGGGACCAGTTTCCTACATTCTTAGCATTTGTCTTCTTGCCGGTTTGCTGCATTTCAATTCCTATGATGTTGGCATAACGAAAGCATTCGAAATGGTCTGGTCTTTGTAATGCAAATATCGGCCTATGACAACTAATTTTTTTCTACTTGTACATTCTTTATTTATAAAGGAGAATTTCCTAGTCCATGATCATTTTATCTGTGTTCTTTTAGAGAGTTATTAGAACATTGTGTAATTTTAAAAAAGTGACTTCATTTCCATCCAAACTGTATGTCTTGCTTTTCGTGATATATAAGTAACAATGATGATCTGATTTGTACACAATTTTTAGCGTGGATTATAATTTTTTTTTTTTGTTTCCTGTATAAAAAATCTGTTCTTTTTTGTAGTCGGTTTCTAATAAAATAATTAAGTGCGGTGTGTCATTAAACAACCGAAGGAACAACATTTTCTTCAGAATTGCTTTTCCAGACTATCACGAATCCAACGAAAAAGTTTAACATTTAAAGCTTTTGTGATAAGTATCTACTTTTACATTTGCCACCGTTTTCTGCATTTTCGCTTAACCCATGCTGCTTTCAAAATATTGATAAAATTTGATGTATAGAGCGGGTAGTTACATACTTGGATCTAGGTATGGAAGTGGAAATTGCCATTTTATACAAAAAAGAAAGTAGCAGCATTTCTGAAGTTTCACTTTTAAGAAAATGAACGATCTAAGTGAGACTCATCCACATCCTCATTGTTTCAAAATGTGTGTTAATGTGGATTACGATCTAGTGATAAAATTTATTTTGCTACATGCGGTTGTTGCTTTGTTGTTCCATTCTAATAAATATTGGTAGGAATGCGGTGCTATGCTACGTTTGTCATGTTTATTCACAGGATTTGAACGTAATTTTGGTTCCCGGGGCAGATATAATCCCGAGAAGCGTCGTTTTGGTCTGTAGTGTCATAAAAAAAAATCTATGGTTGTTAAATTTTTGTTAAAAATGTCAATATCATTAAAATCAAAAAATTTATCTTTGCAATAAAACGAAGTTGCAAATTCTTGAAGTATTTCGTTGTAAAGAAAATTTCACTGTATCAATGTGATGGGAGTGAAAATCTTTAACTCTTCTTTAAATTTCTTTCAAAGTAAACATTCTCAACATTAACATTATTATTTAGATGTATCAATTCCAGGCAACTAACTGTTCCTTTTGTTTTGGAGTTCTTCATTTCAATATATTTATAAGCGGTTGTCGTCGTAACGGGCATCAGGAGAGTAAAACTCTCAACGAATTTTTCGGTTTTTCTTTTTATACTACTAAAATTTTTTGCATCTGTGATAGGATCAGTAATGGAATGTGGTAGTTCTGTAATACTGTATATTGTGACTATATTGTGGTTAAAACTGAAGTTGAGATCCTTTTAATACTGTATGAAATAAGCTTTTCTGTACCTTTTAATCCTGTATCGAATAAGTTTTTTTATTTTTATATTGGAAGTTATTCATTTAGGAGTAATGTGTAGCAGAAGTCCAACCTATTGTGGTTATAATCTTTGTTGCTGTGCTTCTACTAATTGCTATAATGAACTACGTAATCACTTCCTTCGAGGCATTCTTCAACTCAAAAGAGGTATTTAAAAGATTCAAAGAATGAAACTGAAACATCTGCCAAAACAAAATGCACAATTTCTTTAATGAATTGAAGTGAAGTCGATAATTCCAGGTGTAATTTGTGATGTCTATCGTCAACAATGGATAGGAAATAGTCGTTCTAAAGGTTTAAACAGATCATCCTATCCGACATCCGAACAATTATACAGACGTACCGATTGTAGCGCATGTGTCTCGCTGGTTGATGAAGAAGGTGTAGAAATGAGCTGTGCTGAAGATCTTGGTAATGTTTGTCGTAGTATGGATCTACTTGTTGGTGGTCCTATAGTATGCAGTGGAAATGGTGATTGCTGCTGTCAGGTGAATATTTGTTGAATTATTTGCACAATAAATCTGTTAGAATGAATATATTCATTACAAGTGATTGTATCTAAAATACAACTAATTCTCGATATTATCAAAATATGAGAGTAAATGTATTCCATTTTAGGGAGAAAACTGTTCAGAAGCATTACGGAATTTCTATTCAGGTCATCAAAAAGTATTGGGAACACCGCAAATGTTTGCAGTATTAAGCAGTGCTCATTGTCTATATTCCAATTCACTAATTATTGCGGTTTGCTTATCTATAACTGTTCTTTTAGGACAATGGTTTCATTCTCAAATGTCATCACTGCATTCTCCGTTGAAAGGGAAGAGTCTGAATCCAGAATTTCTCTCTGAATTTCAATTATAAATTTTTGATTTGTCTGGTTAATAGAACGATATATTTATGAAATATCATGAATACACATTATTAAAGTAAATTGCAACTACAAATTGAAAATATTGATCATTTTTGTAGTTTCTAGACCTGAATTTCAAATGCATTTTAAATATTGATGTGTTAAAAGGTGATTAAGTTACGCTAAGAGTTTTTGTATATTAAAGAAGGAAAAAAGTTCTATTATTATCAAATTTTATTTTAATAAAGTGTTAAAACTATTTAAAAATATCAATTCATTAAAAAAAAATAGATATTTTCAACTTAATTGATTATTTTATATGCATTTCTTGGGTGCTGGTCATGTATGGTTTGATCATTTTACAGCAATAATAACAAAATAAACTTTGAAAAAACTTAATTATTAAAGTTTTCAGCAATAATTCAGTAGTAAAGTTAATCGAATTTTTAGTTAACCATGGTTTTAATTCATTTTTACAATTAAAACTAATTTTTAATTAAAATTTGAATTTTGGTTCTTATGAAATTCTTACAATTTGTAAGAATTTTTGTATATTAAATAAGGAACTAAGTTCTAATAATATCAAACTTTATTTTATTTAACTGTTAATACTATTTTAAAATATCAGTTAATTAAAAATAATAGATATTTTCAACCTAATTGATCATTTTATATGCATATCTTGGGGTGCTGGTCATGTACGACTTGATCATTTCACAGCAAAAATAATAAAATAAATTAAAAAAAAAGCTTAATTATTAAAGTTTTCAACAATAATTCAAGTAAAAAAAATGTAAAAAAATGAAACTTATTGCTCTTCATAATGTTCACAATTCACAACTTATCATAATGTATCACCATTAATTGAAACAATTAGATTTTTAAACAAGAAATAACTAAAAATGAAGGAAAAAATTTAAACGAAAAGAAGAAAAACGATTTATCATAATTATTCTTTAACTTTTGTGATATATCATAATGTTTATATAAAAATTATGAAAATGAAATATTTTTGAGAAAATATATTTAATATTAAGTTACTTTTATAAGACATAGTTATTTCATTTCTTCTACGTTTGATTTTAACAAATTTTTATTTCTCAAAGCTAATTAAATAATTAGATAATTACGTGGATTATATATATATATATTTTTTTTCAGTTGAATATTTAAAAAAATCAATGAATAAAAGAAAAAGGAAAAAGAGAATGAACAAAAGGATAAAAACTAAATTAGCATAAAACTTTGTGAAATATAATAGCCACGGAAATACTATGGTAAATAAAATCATGTAAAATACATAAGGTTCGGAATCATTATTTTCATAATGGCAAAAGGCGCCATTTTCAAACGAACTGTTGAATTTGAACTCTTGCTTTTGTCTCGTTTTTTTTCATCATTACGGTGTTTGTTTGTTTTGCCTCGTACAGGTGATGAAGTTTCTGTCATTTTATTTTTTTAAGGCTTAATTAATTAATTGTAAGTGGTAGAATAAGAATAGACGAAATTATTTAACATTTTTGTGATTCCTTAGTGATAAAGTGAAAATTCAATATTTAACACAATTAAAATGATAATACGACTTAAAATAATTGCACTTATATATAAATTTTAATTTTTAACTGCTAATTAAAGCTTGAATGCTAATTTAGTAGATTTTGGCTTAAGATTTACAGATTACAGAAATTTTAAATTTGAAATTGACATTTAAAAGTAGTAGTAGTTCGTTATGACCGGAATCAAATGTCAAGTATATAAAAGAGCATGAGGTTATTTTAATAGTGTCAAACTTCTCAAATAGCGTATTATATACATTTGTTATATCAGTCGCAAATTTGCATTGGAATCTTCCATGCAGTCAACTTTGTTTAATTTCATCTGCAGGCACTAATAATGGAAGACTGAATTATCAACTGCTTCATTATTATATTTTGTGATTATTACAGCTTACATATGTCTTTCTACTAAATTTACCTATTTAACCATCTATTATACATGTTAGGGATCATTGTAGATCATTATTTCATCGAAACTGGTAGTTCCTGGATTTCGATTTCAGTCTTAAAATGAAGAAACTGGGAACTATAAATAAGACGAATCCAAAACAGGATGAACGTGTTTGGGTACCAGATGCTGCCGAAGGATTTGTGTTAGGTGTCGTAATTCGAGTAAGTTTTGAGGTAGAACTTTTGTCAGACAGTTTATTTTGCAAAATGTAATTTGAGCTTTCCCGTAGTAATTTTTATTGGTACAAATCAATTATAGTAATTTTTAAAATGAGATTATGTGAACTAAGCTTGATATTGTTGATTCAGCGCTATTCATTCAGTTAAATATTCGACTTTTGTTGCTAATTTGATCATTTTTTCTATGATTCTATGATTTGCTCCAATAAATAAAATTTTTGTGGAGCATATCTACTTCAGTTACACGTAAGCAAATCGAATAATAGCGGAATTGTGATGTGAAACAGTGCAGTACTTGCATTTGGGAGTTTAGAAAATTACGAATTAGATATCACTTTTAATTCTGAATCACTGTTGACGAAGGTTAACCTTGTTAAGTTCATGCAGAATAAGAGATTATTATGTGACTATTTTTGAGGAGTGGTATCATTATGAAGTTAGCAAAGTGTTTTAGCTGAAATAAGTTGCCGTTATGTTGCAGAATGTAGCAGATGATCGTGTATTATTAAGAATTGAAGACACGGGTCGTGAAAAAACTGTGTGCCGGGAAGAGTTGCAATCTGTAAATCCTGCTAAATTAGATAAAATAGAGGATATGTCATCGCTTTCATATTTAAACGAAGCTTGTGTATTACACAATCTTCGGCAGCGATACTATTCATCGCTTATTTATGTAAGTTCGCGACAGTGTTTCTAATTATTTATGTAAATAGCTAATGCTAGTAGTAATTTATTGGAGGCTAATTGGTGAGGTTAAAGTTGCTGATATGCCAGTTGATAAGATAAAGGTCAAGAAATTCACTGCAGTGCACATCGTTTATATACCTTCTGTCTGCAGACTTACTCCGGCTTATTTTGTGTTGTCATCAATCCGTACAAATGGATGCCTCATATTTATTCAGCAACAGTGATGAAAAGTTATCGTGGACGAAAGCGACACGAAGTACCTCCTCATGTGTTCGCTGTGACCGATTGTGCTTATCACGAAATGTTACATCGTTCGTTTTTGTGGATTTATATGGTAGTAAAAGTTGTAGAAATCAGGAATGTAAAGATGAAGTACTAGGAGAACAAGTCTGAATTTTCTGAAATTTCAGAGCGAGAAGATCAATCCATTCTTTGTACAGGAGAATCAGGTGCTGGAAAAACGGAAAATACGAAGAAAGTGATCCAGTATTTAGCAGATATTGCAGGTGCTGGACGGCACATGCGCTCATCAGTTGGAAGGAGTCCTGGAAAGGTTGTGTTTCTCATGAAACTTTTTTTTTTTCAGTGAAAATCTCTCTCAGATTTTCTGGAAAGATGTGAATTTACGTAAATTTTAATTTTCAGAAATTTTGGACTATGATAATGGGATTTCAGATCCAAAATTTTATTTATTATTATTTGAAATTATTTATTTATATTTAATTTTTTTTTTCTATGCAGAGTCAGTTGCCGGCACCATTGCCATTGTCGCCTCTTTCGGAGAGCACCGCATCTGTAGTAAGTTTTTTTTTTTTCTTGTTATGATAGCAAGTGCTCTTTTCTGAGAAGAAAATATTAGATATTGAAAATATAGGGTCAGTTGGAAGATCAGTTGCTACTAGCGAACCCAATACTCGAGGCTTTCGGTAACAGTAAAACAGTTAAGAATGACAATTCTTCAAGATTTGTAAGTTAAACTTCTCTTTTTATTATTTGTGATTTCGACTGATTTCTGATAACTAGATGATCATTTTTTTAAAATTCCACTTTTTTTTACAACTTTCATTTCATTGTTTCACACCATTTTTCTTTTACCATTATTTAGCGATTTTTATTTTTGTTCGAAAATGGGAAATGAATCATTGTTTAATGTAGCTGGAAGATTTCAGATTTTTGATTTTTTTTTCTCTATAGGAAAATGATTTTTAGGAATAAAAGAAATTGGTAGTTTTAGATTTTTCATCTTTATTTATTCGAAGTCATTAGTTCAGCTACTTAATTTTTTGTAGGGTAAATTTATCAGGATAAATTTCGACCAGAGTGGTTGTATATCTGGTGCAAATATCGAACATTATTTGCTGGAAAAGTCGCGTACTATTCGGCAAGCAACAAATGAGCGATCATTCCACTTTTTTTATCAATTATTGCTTGGTTCATCTGTTAACAAAAAAAGTATATTATTTTTTGAATATTTAACAGTGTTTAAATTTGGATGCTCCGTATAATGGAAAGCGTGTAAATCTATTGATCCAATTTGAAATGGCATATAAGATGAGTGTAGTAAAAACTGTTAACTGTTCTAGATCACCACTGTTCAGCTTTATGCTATATTTTATTGTTCCATGAATACCTCTAAGACGTTTTGTTATCAGTTTTTTAGAATATTTTCGTAGTGTCAGAATTATTTTTTGTTTTAATTAGAGTAATTTTTGAGTATAAAACAAAAAGATAACCAATCATGCAGTGAATTTTCAATCTGATTTTGAAATAAAGCAGTTATTTTGCAGGCATGTTTTTAATGGATAATATCGACAGCTATCGTTTCCTTACTAATGGAAGTCTCATCATCCCGAATATTGATGATGCTTCCGAATTGTCAACTACTTTGAATGCAATGAGAGGGATGGATTTTTCAGATGCAGACATCGATAGTAAGTTAAATCATCCAGTTTGAAATAGAAGATACTATACCTATTTTGCGGAATTGTAGTAAAAACTCTCAACTGTTGTGGACTGCTGTTTAGATTTATCTGCATTTCATTATTTTATGAATTACATCGTGAGATTTTCAAATATTTACTTCAGAAGGGTGAACATGATATTTAGCACTAACAGTGAAGTTGGACTTTAAATCTAGC